AGGAGACATTTTTTCAAGGAGATCTGTATAGATTTCCAGAGATATGTGTAGATGGTTGAGGGGCTGCATGTGATCTCCGGAGATAATTGTGATTAACGATCACCTGAGTTAAACCAGTGAATGAAAAGTGTCAAAAAACATGGATTGAAAATAATCTGCACTGACCACTGTACTTTGTCAAGCCACATATTGGCACATTCTGGTTTCACACAGATGCGATGTGAAATTTGCAGTGTTTTCTGTGCAAGCGCTGCACCGCATCACGACCGCAACCCCTTCATGCCACCTGCTGCGGCTTTCTAGGTGAAGTTACCAACACACCAAAATTGGTACACAAAGCGTATTGCGATTTGCCAAATTGGATGGCATGCCTATTCACACCCGCTGTATGGAGGGAATGTCACAGAACTGTCAGAAATAGCCTATTTCTGACAGTTCTGTGACATTCCCTCCATACAGCGGTTGAAACATTGTATCTATTTGTTTCCATAAATGGTTCCATTTATGGAAACAAATAGATACAATGTTTCAACCGCTGTATGGAGTGAATGTCACAGAACTGTCAGAAATAGCCTATTTCTGACAGTTCTGTGACATTCCCTCCATACAGCGGTTGAAACATTGTATCTATTTGTTTCCATAAATGGTTCCATTTATGGAAACACATAGATACAATGTTTCAACCGCTGTATGGAGTGAATGTCACAGAACTGTCAGAAATAGGCTATTTCTGACAGTTCTGTGACATTCACTCCATACAGCGGTTCTCCTTCTTCTCATCCTTCTTCTCATCCTTCTCCTTCTTCTCATCCTTCTTCTCATCCTTCTCCTCATCCTTCTCCTTCCTTCTCTCATCCTTCTTCTATCCTTCCTTCCTTCTCCTTCTTCTCATCCTTCTCCTTCTTCTCATCCTTCTTCTCATCCTTCTCCTTCTTCTCATCCTTCTTCTCATCCTTCTCCTTCTCCTTCATCCTTCTTCTCATCCTTTCTCTTCTTCTTCTCATCCTTCTCCTTCTTTCTCATCCTTCTCCTTCTTCTCATCCTTCTCCTTCTTCTCATCCTTCTCCTTCTTCTCATCCTTCTCCTTCTTCTCATCCTTCTCCTTCTTCTCATCCTTCTTTCTCATCCTTCTCCTTCTCCTTCTTCTCATCCTTCTCCTTCTTCTCATCCTTCTTCTCATCCTTCTCCTTCTTCTCATCCTTCTTCTTTCTCATCCTTTCATCCTTCTCCTTCTTCTCATCCTTCTCCTTCTTCTCATCCTTCTCCTTCTCCTTCTTCTCATCCTTCTCCTTCTTCTCATCCTTCTCCTTCTCCTTCTTCTCATCCTTCTCCTTCTTCTCATCCTTCTCCTTCTCCTTCTTCTCATCCTTCTCCTTCTTCTCATCCTTCTCCTTCTTCTCATCCTTCTCCTTCTCCTTCTTCTCATCCTTCTCCTTCTCCTTCTTCTCATCCTTCTCCTTCTCCTTCTTCTCATCCTTCCTTCTCCTTCTCCTTCTCCTTCTCCTTCCTCATCTCCAAGGGCATTTAAATTAAAGGTACAGTGTTCTGCACTAATTTAAAGGCTCTCTGAAGCCTAGAAACCCTTTTTATAAGTTAACTTCGTAGCGAATTAATTCGCATCGAATCGAATTTCTTCCTGAAATTCGGCGAATCGGCCGAATCGAATTTTTGAATAATTCGCTCATCTCTAATCATAACCCAAACTTCCAAAAATTTCTCAGCAAAAGCCAAGTAGAGAACGACCACCTAAAATATGAAGGATTTCTGGTTGCATCAGTGGACAACATGACATCAGTGGCTGATGCCTCAATGGATGTGGTTGTATGTACCCTGTTGACTTGTTTTGTGCCAAACACGCCAGCAGTACTGAAGGAGGTGCAGAGAGTCCTCAGGCGGTGAGTTTTTTATTATCACATTCCAGCAATTATCAATCTAGCACAGGATAGACAATATCATTAATACTTGACTGGTTGCTATAGGCAACACCCTGCTTGCTTTAGATTTAATTTCACAATTTTTTTTGTCACAAGGAATTGCATGTTTTTGTTGATCTTAGAACAGGAAATTCCCCAGTAAATATTTAAGCTCCGTTTCTACAGTAAAGTAAAAAGAGTTTTAAACAAATAAAAACGTTTTACTTTTTCTGACCTCCAGAATGGATTAATTGGTTTTCAATGCATTTACAAATTAATTTTTAATCATGTCCCTGTACAGTACTATGTCTTTAAAGTGCACTTTATAGTGCACTTTAAAAAGAGTTTTGAACAGATAAAAGCCTTTTTTTTTACTTTTTTCTGACCTCCAGAATGGATTGATTGGTTTTCAATGCATTCCTATGGCAAACCACATTTACGTTTACAAATTTTTTGCAATATGAAAGGTCCCGCAGAACGAATTAAATAGGTAAACCGAGGTACACCTGTATTTGAATTTTAGAATTTCCTTAATGAAAACCCACACACACTGTACGAATTTCTATAGTTTGAGAAAACTTTTCCATTCTGCTCCTTCAATATTTATCCCCAGTAGAGTCAAAAACGATCATTGGTTCAACCCTAATAACTACCCATGTATGGCCAGCTTAGTTATCACACTGCACGGCTATGAATGTGGACATACTATGGATGGGATTACAGATTACCATTTATTTGCTTTAACTTTAGAATGGCAGAAACAGGAAAACATTGTTATAGTGTTACTGATACAGAACATTCTGCACTGAATATGGTCAGGTCATCCTGTGCTATAAATGACAGTTCAGTTTTGGCTTTGTTGCTGGTATGGTTTTATTGCAAAATTAAAGTGGAATAAATACAAAGTGGAAATTTGTGTTATTGTAGTCACACTATCCTTTGAGGTTATACAGCAAATTCTAACTTCACTGTGTGCATTTTGTGGGTTATAACCCCTAAAACAGAACCCTAACATTTTTGTTATTGCACCCAGGTTGACAGATTTGGGAACCACATCTGCAGGGATCCAGAACTTTGCCAAAACAAACGTGGGGAGCCAAACCAAATAAAAATTATTGGGGTCCCAAAACTACAAAAAAAAAGAGGGAGATATCAAAGAAATAACCAACAGATTAACATGTATCTACAGTATAGTTAGGTTGACTGTCATTTAACAAGATGTGGGTGTATGTTTGCCACTTACTTGCAATCCAGAGTACCCTTCAGGCTCCCAGTTATATCGCTCTTGATAGAACAAAACTAGGCTTGAACAGCTTAGGTATCCAGAAGAGACAGTAGGCTTGATTAACAATCGCTATTACACCAGAATAAGTATCTTTATTTTAACCATATGACTACATTTATGAAAACTGGACATAATAACCACTTGAGCTCCAGCAGATTTTACCCCCTTATATGAACAGAGCATTTTGTTTGCTATTCAGCACTGCATTACTTTAAACTGGCAATTGCGCAGTCATATAATACTGTACAAAAAGGACATTTTTATCATTTTTTTTTTACACAAAATAGAGCTTTCTTTTGGTGGTATTTTATCACCACTGGGTTTTTTTATGTTTTCTGATATAAACAAAAAAAACCCTGAAAGTTTTGAAAAAAAATTATTCTTTCAACTTTCTGTTTATAAAACATATCCAATAAAATCAAATCTCATCATAAATTTAGTCCAAAATGTCTTTGGTAAAAAAAAATCCCAATAAGTGTATACTAATTGGTTTGCATGTTATAGCATCTACAACCTATGGTATATACAGTATATTTTGAAAATTGATCAGTTCTGATGTACGGACAGCCTCAGGCCCTAAAATGATAGGACAGTACAAATTCCCCTCAAATTACCCACTTTTGGAAAGTACACAGCCTAAGGTATTTAGTAGGAGGCATGGCAAGTTTTTTAAGTTGTAATTTTTTTGTCACAATTTTTTTTGAAAATGAATTGAATAAAAACATTTTTTCACAAATTTTTTTTTACATAATGTCATCAGTGCAGTACAGCCTCATGATATGCCTGATTTGGTGGTAATCAGGGACACTGACTGGTGACAGTATGTTTAAAAAAATATATATATTTTTTTTTCTTTTAACATTTTGTTTTCCATTTTTTTTTACTATTTTTTTACTATTATTTTTTCTGAGGGGGTGATTGTGGATTTCTTGTTCTTTATACCACTTTACCAATGAAGATCATAGTAACAGCAAATTTTTCAACTGTCATGAATAGGTTACATTCATGACAGCCGTGATCACTAGTGATCTGTGTTTGGCTACAGCTAATCACATGGTACAGTGTGACTGGCCCAGGTACCATGTGACAGCTGTGGGCCAATCAAAACCTAGGAAACACAGTTGTTATGAATGAAACACAGCTTTGTTGACACTGATACTGTGACCTCAAAGCAATCACATGATCACTGGATCCCAAGTACCGGGATCCGCAATCAAATGTGTCCAGAGCAAGCTAAATGATGTACATGTACATGATTTTTTGCCTGCAGGTGCCTCCCAACCACAGTATATGTACGCAAGTGGTTAAAGTGTACAGTATGTGAACCATTACGTGTTAAAACAAAAGTACTGTATATTGTTAAAACAACCCATTCAGCACCTAGGCATGCAGACTGCTTCTACAAACATTTGTGAAAGAATGGGTTGCTCTCAGGAGCTCAGTGAATTCAAGCATGGTACCGTGATAGGTTGCCAGCTGTGCAATTTCCTTGCTACTAAATATTCCACAGTCAACTGTTAGTGATATTATAACAAAGTGGAAGCAACTGGGAACAACAGCAACTTAGCCACAAAGTGGAAGACCACGTAACATGACAGAGCGGGGACAGCGCATGCTGAAGTGCACAGTGCGCAGAAGTTGCCAACTGTCTGCAGAGTCAATAGCTAAAGACATCCAAACTTCATGTGGCCTTCAGATTAGCACAACAACAGTGCGTACAGAGCTTCATGGAATGGGTTTCCATGGCCGAGCAGCAGCATCTAAGCCTTACATCACCAAGTGCAATGCAAAGCTTCGGATGCAGTGGTGCCTTCGAAACAGCATCAATTCTAGATACACTTGCACATAGTTTTTGAAGGAACTTGGCAGGTATTTGCCCGGTAAGCCGGGGCTGCCTGCATAGGAGAGGTGGCTGGGCAGCACATAGAGGACCGTGCATTTCTCGCTTCCTCTATGTGAGGCTAGCTGCCTCTGCTATCAATCTCCTGCATTAGGTTGGCTCCTATATGCTCCCCCCCGTGGCCACCCCTCCTCCCTCATCTCCTCCAGCGGGCCCCTCTCTCATCTCCTCCAGTAGCCCCCTCCATCTCCTTCAACAGCCCCCTCCATCTCCTTCTTCGCGGCCCAATCCCTCATCTCCTCCAGCGGGTCCCCCCCTTATGTCATCTCTTTCTTTTTTTCTTTTTTCCTTTTTGATAGTTCTCTCTCTCTCTTTCTCTCGCTGTCTGTTTCTCTCCTTTCTTTCTCTCTCCTTTCTCTCTCTTTCTTCCTCTCTCTCTGTCTCCCGTTTCTCTAATTTTTTTTCTTTTTTTTATAGTTCTCTCTCTTGCTGTCTCCTGTTTCTCTCCTTTCTTTCTTCCTCTCTGTCTCCTGTTTCTCTCCTTCCTTCTTTCCCTCCTCTCTTTCTATATGTCTCTTCCTTTCTCTCTCTTCCTTTCACTCTCTCTGTCTCCTGTTTCTCTCCTTCCTTTCTTACCCTCCTTCTATATGTCTCTTTTTCTTTCCCTCTTTCTCTGTCTCCTTTTTTTCCTCATTCCTTCCTTCTTTCTTTCCCTCTTTCCTTTTTTCCCCTCTCTTTCCCTCTTTCCTTCTTTCTCTCCTTCCTTCTTTCTATATGTCTCTCTCTGTCTCCTGTTTCTCTCCTTTCTTTCTTTCCCTCCTTCTTCCCCTCTCTTTCCCTCCTTCTTCCCCTCTTTCTTTTCCCTCCTTCTATATGTCTCTCTTTCTTTCTCTCTCTCTTGGTCCTCCAGTGGCCCCCTCCTTCATCTCCTCCAGCGGCCCACCCTCATCTCCTCCAGTGGCCCCCTCCCTCATCTCATCTTTTTCTTGCTCTCTTTTTTCTCTCTCTTTTTGATAATTCTCACTTTCTCTCTCTCGCTGTCTCCTGTTTCTCTCTTTTCTTTCTCTTTCTTCCTCTCTCTCTGTCTCCTGTTTGTCTCCTTTCTTTCTCTTTTCTCCTGCTTCTCTAATTTTTTTCTCTCTTTCTCTCTCTTGCTGTCTCCTGTTTCTCTTTCTTTCTTCCTCTGTCTCCCGTTTCTCTCCTTTCTTTCTCTCTCCTTTCTATTTCTTTTTCTCCTTCATTTTTTACCCTCTTTCCCTCCTTTCCTCTTTCTATACATCTTTCTTTCTCTGTCTTCTTTTTCTCTCTCCTTCCTTTCTTTCTTACCCTCCTTCTATACGTCTTTTTCTTTCTCTCTCTCTCCCTGCCTCCTTTCCCTCTTTCTCTCCTTCCTTCTTTCTATACGTCTCTCTTTCTCTCTCTGTCTCCTGTTTCTCTCCTTTCTTTTCCCTCCTTTCTTTCCCTCCTATATGTCTCTCTCTCCCTCTGTCTCCTATTTCCCTCCTTCCTTCTTTTTTTCCCCCTCTTTCCTTCTTTCCCTCTTTTTTTTTTTTTTCTCTTTCTATACATCTTTTTTTTCACTCTCTCTGTCTCCTGTTTCCCTCCTTCCTTCCCTCTTTCTTTCCCTCCTTCCTTCTTCTTTCTTTCTATACGTATCTCTTTCTCTCTGTCTCCTGTTTCTCTCCTTCCTTTCTCTCTTTTTTTCTTTCCCTCTTGCTCACTCTTTTTCTCTCTCTTTCCCTCTCTCTCGGTTAAACCAAAAAGTCTGTTTATAAATAAACATGAAATAACTACGTCAGGGTTTGATCTAGATCGGGTGTCAGGGTTAGCATCAGGGTCAAAAGTCATGATTAGTGTATTTTAGTTTGGGGGTAAAAAAATCAGTATTTCTAATATAGTATCAGTGCCAGTTAGTGTCAGAGTCTGTGCCTTTTAGGTATGATTGTTTATTTCTGGGTCATACTAAGGGTCCAAACAGCAAATAACATACACATAATTGTTATTGCTACGATCATCAGGAGCAGGAGAGTTTCTTTTGAGTTGTTCTTTCATGGTAGGTTGTGGTAATAGCAAGAATATACTGCTAAATAAAAAAAATTATATTTTGTGCCAGTTTTCCTTTGATAATAAAAAAACAGATTTCTATTACCATTTACCACCAAATGATAGCCCTGTTTGCCCTAAAAAAAAACAAGGTATAATTCACCTGGGTACACTAAGTAGTTGCTATGATATATACAGTTTTACAAACATAGGTCACAGTTGCAAAACTGTGTTCAGGCATTAAGATTTGTTTTGCCCTCCATCATGAAGAGGTTAATATGAAGAATGCAAAACAGGATGATTGCAATGTGTCAGGTTAGCTTTTCTACATTCATATAAATATAATCTCACCTCTCATTTTCCAGGGTGGAGCTTTCTACTTCATTGAACACGTAGCCTCCACAGATGAGTCCAGTTGGACAAGTTTTTTTCAGAAGGTCATGAATCCAACCTGGCAGCTGATTGTGGATGGTTGCAATATACGGAAAACCACATGGAAGGACCTGGAAGATGCCAACTTTTCAGAGCTGAACCTACGCCATATATATGCCCCTACATTTTTGAAACTTGTTAACCCTCATATTATTGGATATGCTGTCAAATAAAGTCATATAAAGCACATTTTTAATGGAGTTGAAGTCAGGCAAGAGCTTTACCCTAGGTCAGGGGTAGGCAACCTGCGGCTCTCCAGCTGTTGCAGGACTACAAATTATCATGCCTCTGCAAGTCATAGCTGTAACTGTCAGTTTTGTAATGTTGCAATGCCTCATGGGAAATGTAGTTCCACAACAGTTGGAGAGCCGCAGGTTTCCTACCCCTGCTCTAGGTTTACACCTATGCATTTTGCAGAAATGCGCTACAATCCATTTAACATGATTTCCTATGGGACATGTTCACATCTCCGCATTTTCACCCGATGCGTTTTTTGGAAAGGGTAAGGGACTTTTTTTTTAACGCAAAAAATTACGTGTTTGGTTCTATAGACTTCAATGGAAACGCTGCAGAAAAGCATGTAGTGTGTTTTTGCTGCTTTGTTTTATAAGCTTTTGATGTGTTTTTACATTTTAAATCTGCCTAGCAACAAGAAAATTTTTTTTAAAAATGAAAAAAAAAAAACTCAAAATGGGGCAAAAACGCATCAAAAACTCAGGTGCAAAAACGCAATGCAAAACGCAATGCAGAAACGGGTCAAACCCAAACTGCATAGGTGTGAACCTAGCCTTATACATGGCTCCACATTCGGAAGGGATGCAGCAACTAAGTAAAAATTGACCTCTTCTTCAGGCCCATTTTTATATTGCAGAATACACACATCACCATATATGTTTTTAGAGAGACTTTCACTTATTTTATATGTGTTTTAGCCAGGGGCGGACTGACAACTCATGGGGCCCCGGGCAATAGGGGATCATGGGGCCCCTGTGTCCTTGCCCAAACTCAAAAAAGCCTATGAAAAAGGTACCAGGGGCATCTCATGGGGCCCCCTACTGACCCCAGGCCCTCGGGCAGTGCCCGAGTTTCCAAATGGTCAGTCTGCCCCTGGTTTTAGCTTGCTGTAATATGTTTTAATATGCACTCAGATGCTTTTTTGCTTGCATTTTAATATACTGGATTAAATGTTAAAACACTGCTATGCCCAAAATATCCAAAAGTGAGTTCCAATACACTTGCAAACACCTTTTCAAATGTAAAAGTGAAAAAGCCCGTCATAAAAATATAAAGAGGGGAAGGCATAGAAGACCTGTTAAGTTTTCACTATGCTCTGGTGCCACTGGGGAATGTTCCGCTCCCATCCTGATGAGACAGGAAGTGATAGAAAATCTCTCCAATGGGGGAACAAACTGCAACAAGCCATATGTTTTAATGAAATGGGGAAGGGTTAAAATCTATGTTCGCTTATTATGTTTGTCTGTGTTGTCCTGCCCCAGTTGCTGGTGACTGCTATGTCCTCATGCACACTGGACGTTTTAATAACACTGGTAACGTTAATTGTGTAAAGTCACATTAAAAACATTTTTCAGGGTTTTTTTAGCGTTTAGCCACATTTTCCTGTGTTTTTAGGCATGTGCATTTTTTAGCATTTGCAGTTTCTTTGACCAAAAAATTTATTTTTTTTTAGTCAAAAAAATTCCAAAAACGGTAGTTTGCAGCATTCTACCACGTTTTGCAGTGTTAGAGCGTTTTTACAGCTACAAAACTCCTCTAGAAACCCACTAGTCCTGTTTTTTTTTTTTCCAGCCAAAAAACGCCCCTGCCAAAAAAACGTTGATTACCGTCTATGTGTGCATGGACACATAGGATAACATGCTGGGGGGTTTACTAGCTGTAGAAAAAAAATGTCAAAAGCCAAAAACAGCCACTGTAAAAACATCCAGTGTGCATGAGGACTTACCTTGTTTCCTATCTTGCTGTCTGAGGGATATGAAGTGAGATGTGAAATTATGGACAGCAGCAATAGATTTTTACCTTTTCCAAGTCTATCTGAAACGGAAGTATAGCAAATAAACAATTATGTTTTTGAGCATTTGACACTAGAAACTGGTAAAAATGCAAATGTTACTGATGTTCTAAAGCAGCTATCTAAAATAAACTGTTGTTTACTCTAAGATCATTTTTGTTCCTGGTTCAGACTTGCACAGGTTAGTATATTAAGGAGAAGGAGTGCCCACATACAAATGTATATCTGTTTTAATTATTGCACATGTGACTGACAGACGTTTTCATGCAATAATTTTGCATTGGATTTTTTCAAAGAACATTATAATTCCAGGGAAGAGATTCACACGTATATATTATGTCTAACCATACTACAAAGCATGAGGACTTTGTCTTATACACAGTAATCTTACACTGTAAGGCCCCTTTCACACGGGCATTCCGCATGTCCATTCTTCATCTGTCCGTTTATGGATGAAAGTCGGACACCCATGTATTTCTATGGACTAGCGGATGTAAACGGATGATCCTCTATTTACATCTGTTAATGTCTGTATCCGTAAACATCCATTTCTTTGAATGAAAAAAACCCTGTGTTTCTTCCGTAAAAAAAACGGAACGGACAAAAAATGGATGTAAACGGACATTCGGTCCATTTTTTGCATCTGTTTTTGCATTGGTAAAGGATGCAAAAACTGATGCAAAAACGGATGAGAAAATGATGAGAAACTGATGCAGAACTGATGTAAACTGATCCATTTATTTCTTTGAAAAAACCATGACTTAACTGATGAAAAAAAAACAGAACGCCCGTGTGAAAGGATCCTAATAATCGCAGAAATTAGATGCTCCTAGTCTAGGTTCACACCTATGCAGCTTGTGTTTGATGCATTTTTGCATTGCGTTTTTGATGCGTTTTGAGTTTTTCTTTTTTTTCTTCTTGTTGCTAGGCAGATATTAAATGCAAAACGCAGCAAAAATGCAATACATGCTTTTTCTGTAGCATTCCCATTGAAGTCTACATAAACCAAAAATGCAACGTTTTGTGTTAAAAAAAGTCCCTGATTCTTTACAAAAAACGCACCGGCTGAATACACACAGGTGTGAACATGGCCCATAGGAAATCATGTTAAATGGACTGCACTGCGTTTCTGCAAAACACTGCAGAAAACGCATAGGTGTGAACCTAGGGTAAGAGAAAGGAGATAAGTGGACTGAGGGTCTGCTGCTGGTTTCAGGGAAGAGGATGGGGTAGGACTAGGGAGGGAAAGGGATAGGAAAGGTATACAGTCTGGACTTTCCTCACCCCCTATGGAAGACAAAAGTACAGGGGGGGGGGGGGGGGGTTAGGAGAATAAAGCAGTTAATTTTTCAAAGCTCATGGCTTTTGAAACCTGATGCTTTTCTTCTACAAAGGGGACACTCTAGGTTTTCCATGCATGTGATTTCTAGGCTTATGTGATTTGTTTTGTTACGAATCGGAATTCAGACAAAATTTTTGTTATTTGGATGTATCTGAATTTCCGAATCACAATAGTAACAGATTTTAATGAGTCCAAAATAAATTAACTCGAACCAAAATAACTTAATGAAATAACAAATTATTCAAATCTGAAAATGAATTCGAATTCTGAATAGAAACATATTGAAATAAATGCAGTAGAGTATAAAAGTGAAATAAGATGATGATTCTTACTTAGACTGCTTTCACACTGCTCCATTGAAAAACTGCGGCAAAAGCACATATGCATTTTTTGCTGCGTGTTTGCTGTGGTGCGTTGTGTTTTTCATGAGAAGAATTAAAAAATAGCATATATAATAAAAATAGAATAGAACAAAAAAAAAGGATACAAAATAATAGAATAGACTAAAACAGACAAGAAAAGAAGAGAAGAGAATGTTATAAAAGTGAATAAAATAGAATAAAGCAAGAGAGCACAACAGAATATAATAAAACACAATAGAATAGAATACAACAGAAAAGAATAGAATATAATCAAACAGAATATAATAGAAAAGAATAGAATAGAATAAAAAAAATGAATAGAATAAAAATGAATATAATAAAATAAAACAGAATAGAATCAATTAGTATACAATACAATATAAAATAATATAAGAGAATAGAATAGAACATAACAGAATAGAATAAAGTAAAACAGAATAGAGTAAAATAGAACAAATACAGCCATCTCCTGAAATTCAAATAGTATTTAAATCGATTCAAAAATAACTACAGAATCCGAATATTCAAAACAATTACCGAAAATCAATCTTTCTATAAAAACCAAATTATTAACTCAACAAACTAATCAGAAGCAAAACCTTATTTTTCCGTCATGCACATCTCTAGTGATTTCCCTTTTATCCAAATTTGCAAATGAATTCAAATTCAAAAATGTATTTGAATTCTAAATGGAAACATATTGCAATAAATGTAGTAAGGTATAAAAGTGAAATAAGATGATGATTCTTATGTAGATTGTTTTCACACTGCTCTATTAAAAAAAAAGCTGCAAAAGCACATTTGCATTTTTGCTGCATATTTCCTGCAGTGCGCTGAGTTTTTGATGAGTAGAATAGAATAAAACAGAATAGAATATAATAGAACAAAAAATAATAGAATAGAAAATAAAATGCAATATAAAATAATAAAATAGAATAAAACAGAATAGAATAGAACAAAGCAGAATAGAAAATAATAAAATGGAATCAAATAGAATACAATAGAAAAAAATAGAAGAGAATAAAACAGAATAGAATAAAATAAAACAGAATAGAATAAATAAGAACAAATATAGCCATATCCCGAAATTCTAATATTTTTCAAATCGATTAAAAAATAACTACAGTATCTGAATATACAAAACAAATTCCGAAAATGAATCATTCTAAAAAACAAAATTATTAACTTAATGAACTAATCCGAAGGAAAACCTTTTTTCCGTTGTGCACATCTCCAGTGATTTCCCTTTTAGAGATTAGTTAGAACTGGGTGTTGAAGCATTCCCCAGGTTCATTCATTTAGAAGGATTTCATAGAGATTGTGATGGACCACCTGGCACCCCAACTGGGTGCTTCTGTCAGAGAAATGCTTCCTCACCGCTCCCAAGAACTAGAGGACACTAGCTTAGGTGCAACAAGGAACTCTCTTTACTGTCAGTTCACA